CGATCAGACTTTAGATTTGTGTATATAATTTGTTGTATGAATTTTCCGCTCTGACACTGCCAAAATATTGAGTTGAATCTACCAACTTGGATTGCAGGGTGGCCCCTTCCCCTATTCCCCCTTCTCTACAGGTCCCTAGTAGGTGAATATCTCCACACTTGTTGATTTTTGATATCTTTATTATATTCTAGCACATACCATTGGGCATTAAATGCCTTGTGAAATGTATCTTGAATTTTTTCAGTGTTCTTTTGCACTGTATGAATCCCACCAATTTAAAATAAAAATTTAAATATGTTAAAAATAAATAAATTCTTGAACTGAACTGGCTCAAACTATTTTTTGCATAACTCTAGTTTTTATTCACTCAAATATTAAAAATAAAGGTTACTAAAAACTGAATTCTGCTTTTTTTTCAATTTGTATTTTATTGAAGATTTTCATCAATAAACATCTTTACCATATTATGGGTAAAGTAATTAAGCACAGATACTATGTGTTGATATATGTGAGATGTTGCTACCTCTTAGCTACATTCAAGTAAGTTGTTTATATATCAGTGAAAACATTATGTATGAGCAATGCAAAATTAAGAAACAACAAATAAAAATGAAAAACGAGAAATCATGAACAGTTCTGTTCCAGAGTTCCCTCATATTACCATCTTTGGATGGTTGGAGTTATTATAAGGTGAGTCATCCCCAAATTTGGGTTCTGTCATAAACCTGGGAGATTATGGGATCCTGGAGAATGTCCATGTGTGCTTATGCTTGGGATGGGTGCTGGTAAGCCAAGTGCGCTGTTCGGGGTTTAGAGCTTCGTACGCCATTGCTTCCCTCCTTGTCCTCTTTGTGAGAGGCAGTAAGAGAACCATCAGTGTCCCAACGATATTTAATAGAGTGGGCTCTTAATGTCTTAATGCCATAAATGCCAATTTTCTCCTTTCTAGAAGAGCCAAGAAAGGGAGGTCACAGTCCTCAAAGGCCACTTTTCCCAAGGACTGGGATTTATTTATGATAGTGAATTTCTCTCAACGTCTCTGGTAACGGCTATGGTATCTCTTGGGACCTCAGCCGGTGCAGATTTGCGCACCTGGCAGGATAAAACTATGAGTGGGATGTTGGTGCCACATTTAAGGCTTATGAAGGCCGTCATTCTCTGGATAAAGGATAGTAAGTTCTCACCAGCAATCCATTCACTTATGCCACTTCTGTGGAGTTTCTGGACTTACTTGGCAAGATCATCCATCCGTCTAGATGCTTCTTGTGTGTGAGCCTCTCTGGCCTTCTCCCTTTCCTCCAGAGCGCTCACTCTTTGGTGAAGTATGCCCAATTCTGCTTGGGTCTCTTGTAGATTCGCTTTCCAGATTTGCATTAGGTCTATTAGGAGTTTCTTGATGTCCCCCTTCATAGAAGTCTTCGTCTGATTCGGTTCTGAGGTACACCACACCGTAGCTTGGTAAGGCATTGGGTTCTCCTTCCCTCTGTGAGTTGGATGCTATCTTGGCTGGTGTCGGCGGTGTAGGCCACTCAAACAAGAGTCTGATGTCGAGGAATGCAGGTCTCTGATTGAAATTGTCGCTTGTGTTTGTGCCCCATAATGACAGCTGTGGGGTGGAGTAAAGGTTTCACTCGATATAAGTGGCTGTCTGCCATATTTATCTCTGGTTTGTGGGGCCACCACAGATACAAGTCTGGATAGCAGCTTGGCCAACTCTTAATTGGAACAGATTATTTCTGTATATGTCTTTAGTTTTGTACAATATTTGAGCTTCATTATTTTACATTTTCTTTTATTCCCTCCCCCCCGCCCCCCTCCCTCCTGCGCCTTGGTAATTTTCCTTTCAACAAATTGCATACATAGGAACTTTAATAAAATTTTAATTAAAAAAAACAAAAATAACTTTTGGTATACTGTCCATTAAAGCTGAGTTAGTTTCACTAATTTAAGAATAGTGCACTTTTTTTTTTTTTAAATCGGGACATCTTCTGTCGTAATATCTATGCCGCCACTGACACAGCTAAACCTGCTAATACCTACTTGGCCAGTTTCTGATCAGTTTCACTTGTGACTGTTTGCTCGTATATTGCTGTTTGGGGTAAATGAACACGTGTCAGTCTCAGTTGCCTCTATCTGCCCACACCTTGCATTTGGATTAAACTGCAGGCCTACCTACACTGTTGTAATTTTGCCTCTGAAAAGGCCAGCCAAAAACTGAGCAGAGGTACATGATTTTACCTCCCAACATTTTAAAAGCCCACATCCAAGAATTGGGGTGTGACAGAATTAAGCTTTAAAAGGAATGTGAGTGAGACAGGGTTAACAAAATAAAATTAATCATCACAGACACCATAGGATCAATGGCAACACAGAGACATCGAACAGTAACTGTTCTGTTGGATCAGGCCACTTGGGATGCATGATTCCAGTGGTCAGTCACTTGACACTAGTGATTTTACAATGTCCTTTGTGAAAAAGCACCCATCAGTAGTGGATGGCAACCTACCACTTTTATAAACACGACATGTGAAATGTGTTTTGAAGTGCAAAGGACAGCACAGTGTGTCAGATGGTACATAATATCAATCTCTGCATATGATTAACAATATTCACAACATTAACCCCTAATTCAGAATTTCAAGACTACATTTCAATGACAAGAAAAACCTTTTTAACAGCTTAAAGAGATACTTGTATTTTTCTGATTAAATGTTATAGTTCCTCTTCCTTTCATCCCACTAAATGCATCTAAGGAGCATACAACAGAGGTAAGACCATTTACCTCCTGTGTAGTTCCAAGTGACCAGCAGAATAATCTTTCTGTGCGAGAATGTGCTCCGCAGATTTACTAGTTGTGCGCAGGGATACATGCCAGCACAGTCTTGCATTCACTACATATAGAAATAAAATAATATAAAAATGGAAGGTTTTAAAATAAATATGATTATAAACATAAATATGTGCTTTTAATTAACTATTATAATGTACTATAACCACTGTAGGTGACTGTTACTTTATAATTCTTCACCAAAGTCTTAGTCTTAGTGTCAGCACACTACTTCCTAAGTATATTATTGAAACAACCGCTGAGTGGATCAGTTACTTACAAATGGATGTTAAAACTAACCTATCATGACAGTATCTCCTTTTGTACTGGGCATATCATTTATCATTCTAATAAATTCTATATTTAATTACGTTAGGAAGTGTTAGTTCAATCCAGCGGTGACAAACCACCCCTAGTCCATCCATCCTCCTGCAATCCTTCCAATGTGATTGCCCCATCTTAGGAACACTTATCCATGCAGGGTGTCCAACTCCATGATGCCAACTTGCATCAGAAGAGATTGACAGCTGTTAGTTTGTTCCTTTATTGCTCGAGCATGTGATATCTGCTTGCTTGTGGAAAATCACAGCAACTACATCTCTATAGCAGAGTTTTCATGCTCTCTCCTGAAGCTCATATCTTGACACAGAGTTTGATAACTGATGGAGAGATCATTTAAAGACAACTTGTGTGTATCATGGCAGGTACACTTTAAGGAGCATGAAATCATTACAGTTTAAAGGTATAAAGTTAGGTAAATAATAAAATTCAGTCTACATATCATGGCAGCTAAATTGGTAGCGAATATACAGATTAAATCATAATAAAGCTTCTAGCAGATGTCCCTCAGCCCTGGGTCAGGCTCCGTCCACGCTCCTCTCCCGCCGCTGTCAGCATGTGAGCGACAATGGGCGTGCTATAACACACACACACAATACAGACACTGAAATACACACTCAGACACAGTATGCACAAACCGTTATAAACAATGCTAAACACACAGTCAAAAGTACACACATTGTAAGTAGTTTACTAGTGATTTAAGGAATTTTCCCCTTCCAAATGTTTGTATTTTTTTTTCTCTTATGTAACTCCCTGAGATGTTATATAACATCAGGTGACTTTGTGTCCTGTGAAGTCACGCATATACAATTAATTATGCAAATTAGCATGGCCAGTATTTTTTTCCAAAAAAGATGACAACCTTTCCAGGCAGTGCCACCAGACTCTCGTTCCGGATATAGATAGACTTTAATGGCGACTTCTGTGGATAAATCACTTGGAAACTTTTTTAACAGTATTAAATCATTTGGAAAAGCTTATTAACCCCTTAGTGACTAGACTGTTTTTCATTTTTCTTACAGTTAAGGACCAGGGCTGTTTTTACATTTCTGCGGTGTTTGTGTTTAGCTGTAATTTTACTCTCTTTCTCATTTACTGTACCCACACATATTACATACTGTTTTCTCAACATTAAATGGATACCACTAAATACATTAACTGAACACTAACGATACCATTAATTTCATCATATCATATAATTTACTATAAAAATATCATGAAAAAAAAACAAAAAAACAAAAAAATTTCTAACTTTCACCCCCCCTAGTTATAGGGCAATAAGTACAAGTAGGACATTGCTGTTTCAAAATATATATATTTTAAAATGTATCAATAGTGACATTGTAACACTGTTATCATTGTTACATGTTATCTGTCATAAATCTCTGAATCACACCTCACATGTACATACAGAGATACCCCGTTTAGCGCTACCCCGCATAGCGCTGATTCACTATAGCGCTGTTACCGTACTGGTACTCGCAGAGCGCTAAACCCCGGTGTAGCGCTGTTTTTTCCCGTGCTGACCCGCTTTTCCGTGCGTGACTGCGTCGTTACAGCGTTAACAGGGGCACCATGGGAGAAAGAACCAGTGAGAGCCAGAAAGATAGAGAGAGACAGCGAAATCCAACCTGGAAAATCCATTGGCAAGGTACAGAATACCTTCTTTGTTCCCTTGTTTGTAATAATGTGATTATTATTAGCTGTCTAATACAATTTCCCCCCTTGTTTCTTTGTTCCCTTTCTTTCCTGTAACTTTCTTTGTTCCCTTGTTTTTAATAATGGGATTATTAATTATACAATTATTATTTTTTTTGGGGGGGGGGGGGTAATGCAGATAGAGTCACATCTAGTGATTGTTATCAGGGACCCCCAAATCCTGCAGAGAACATCCGCTGGCAAGGTACAGTACAGAATACTGTATTGTCATTGTTCCATTGTGTTGCATAATGAAAATCTACATTCATTGTACTGTATTTTTATACTGTTTTACAGATGTCTGAGCGCAAAGAGGAGCAGGCTAAGGGCAAGCGCCAGAGTATTCCTCTGGATGTAAAGATCCAAGTACTGGACCGTCTGGATAAAGGAGAGCGCCAGGTGGATATCGGGGCAGATCTCCATTTGCCTACCTCCACTATCCGCGGTATCCTCAAAAACAAGGATAAGATCCGCACTTCAGCGACGACCAGTATTGCTTCTTCAGCCAAGAAGATCACCCACTCCAGGTCCTACGCTCTTGAGGAGAAGGAGAAGAGGCTTTCCATATGGATAGATGATGAGCTGGAGCGTAACATGCCTCTCAGCCAGGCCATCTTGATGGAGAAGGCGAAGAGCATTTACGCTCACGTACAGAGTCAAGATCCAGATGTGATGGAGAGTTTTGCAGCAAGTAGAGGTTGGTTTGACCGCTTTAAGAAAAGGTACAACCTCTACAACCTTAAGATCACCGGTGAAGCGGCAAGTGCGGACACTGGAGCTTCTGCAGCTTTTCCAGCCTCAGGACGTGGTGGATAGAGGGAGCTATCCAGCGGAGGTTGTCTTCAATGTGGATGAGACCGGGCTCTTCTGGAAGCGGATGCCAAGCCGCACGTTCATCTCCGGGGAGCAGAAGAAAGCACCGGGCTTTAAAGCGGCGAAAGACAGGCTGACCCTTCTTTTGGGTGGGAATGCCAGCGGTGACTTCCGTATAAAGCCATTGCTGGTGTACCACTCCCAGACACCGAGGGCAATGAGGGGCATTAGCAAGTCCAGCTTGCCAGTGATTTGGAAGGCAAACAGGAAGGCATGGATCACCAGGGATATTTTTACAGAGTGGTTCACTGACCATTTCTGCCCTTCCATGCAGTGTTATTGTTGGCGCAAGGGACTGGAGGAGAAAGTGCTGCTCATCATGGACAATGCGCCGAGCCACCCGACTAACTTGGCTGAGCTGCCCACCTGCATTCCTGTGGAGGTCCTGTTCCTACCGCCCAACACAACGTCGCTTATCCAGCCTATGGAGCAGGGGATGATTGCCACCTTCAAGGCCTACTATCTCCGCCGCACATTCCATCAGCTGATTGAACACAAGGACCGCGAGGACAAGCAGTCAATTTTGGACTTCTGGAAGCAGTACCACATCATGAATGCTGTCTCCAACATTGATTTTTCCTGGAAGGAGGTGACACAGCAGTGCCTCAAGGCTGTGTGGAAAAAGATCTGGCCAGAGCGGTGTGAGGATGTGCAACTACCAGAGCCCATCATAGCGGAGATAGTTGACCTTGTGACCATGGCTGGACTAGGAGACACAGATGTTCAGGACATTGAGCAGTTAGTCCAGGCTTCAGGTGAGAGCCTCAACAATGAGGACCTTGAAGAACTGGCTGAAAAGGGCACACAGAAACCTCAGGACACCAGCGACTCGGACACTGAGCCTCCAAAAGAGCTTTCCTCTGAGCTCCTAAACATTGCATTGCATCAGGTCAATGACATAATGGATCAGCTGGTGGTCAATGATCCTGATGCAACTAGGAGCAGGAATGCAAGGCGCATTGTGCTGGCAGGGGTGTCTTGCTACCGCCATCTGCTGGATAGCCGCAAGAAGCATAGACAAATGACCCTTGACCAATTTGTGGCCAAAAAAACGAGGCAGGAGGACGACCCTGGAGCCTCCACATCCACCATTTAAAACCTTTTTTTTTTTTTTGGACTGTTACTTTAATTTGGTACTGTTTCTTTAATTTATTGGGTGCAAAACCTTAGTTTATTTAGCTTTTTATTTATGCTGCTGTGTGCAGTTCACAGCAAGTAAAAAAAGTTTTAAAAGTTTTAAAATTCTATTGGTGTTGTGTTTTTTTTCCAAAGTTGATTCCCTATGCCTATCTTCCCCATGTTAAACTGCCCCGTTTAGAGCTGTTTTGCTTAGCACTCATAGCAGTTGGAACCTATCTACAGCGTTAATCAAAGAAATTCCTGTATTTGTTTAAAGTAGACAACTCAGGGTATTCAATATGGGGTATGTCCAGTATTTTAGTAGCCACTTAGTCACAAACACTAGCTAAAGTTAGCATTTATATTTGTTTGTGTGTTAAAAATGCAAAAAACAATTATGAATGCTAACTTTGGCCAGTGTTTGTGACTAAGTGGCTACTAAAAAAGACTGAACATACCCCATTTACAATACCTTGGGTTGTCTTCTTTTGCAAATGGTATGCCATCATGGGGGTAATTCTCATTCCTGGGCTACCATACGCTCTCAAAGGCAACATAACCAATTTGGCAAATTTCAATGTGAAAAAAACAGAAAATCAAGCCTTATATTTAACCCTGTAACTTTCAAAAACACTATAAAACCTGTACATGGGGGATACTGTTATACTCAGGAGACTTCACTGAACACAAATATTAGTGTTTTAAAACAGTAAAACGTATCACAACAATGATATCATCAGTGAAAGTGCTGTTTGTTTATGAAAAATGCAAAAAACTTAACTTTCACTGACAATATCATCGCTGTGATGTTTTACTGTTTTTAAACACTAATATTTGTTTTCAGCGAAGTCTCCTGAGTAAAACAGTACCCCCATGTACAGGTTTTAGGGTGTCTTGGAAAGTGACAGGGTTAAACACAGTGCTAGCAAATTAAATTCTCTGGATTTTCGGCCTGGTTTGTCAGGCAGGTCCCCCAAATTGCAATCAATAAAATTGCTTAATTATGTAAAAATATTACATAAATACGCACGTAGAATTTAAATATATATACATATTTATATATTTGAAGTCTACGCGTATATTTATGAAATTATTTATGTAATTATTGATATGGACATATGTATATTTCGTATTATTTTTATTTATTTATACATGGATATAGATATATATAATTTCATTCTAAGTGTATTTTGATATAAATATATATATATATATATATATATATAACAAAATACAGAATAAAGTTACATATATAATTTTTTGATTTACAATTTTTTTAAAATAGTTTTATTTGTTTTTAATTATTATTAATATATATACACACACACACACACAATATATATAGTTATTTTATATATATATATATACACAAACACACACACACAATATATATAATTATATATATACACAAACACACACACACTATATATATAGTTATTATATATATATACACACACACACGTTATAATTTTACTCTAAGTGTATTTTTAATATATGTATTAGTATGACATTATATAAGATATATATATAATTTATTTTTATTTTTTACATTTATTAGCTTTAACTTTATTTTTTTTACTTTTTTTCACCAGCAGGGGGGCTGCCTATCAGTTCAGGCAGTCCCCCTGCAGGCAACACTATGGACGCCTACTGCGGCCATGTGACCACTCAGAGCTATCACATGGCCCATGGGGTCCTATTTAGCCGAGGGGGGACCGTCAGACAGTCCCCCCAGACGGAGAGGAAGACCGATCACCGGCAGGGGAACAGCGACAATCGGGTAAGTAATTTAGGAATACCTTGAACGTACTAGGTACGTATGAGGTTCTGGGGTGGATTGTTAAGTTATATATATATATATATATATATATATATATAGTTTATTTTTTTCAATGTATTTTTAAATTGTATTAATTTTGCTGAGTGCCTCGACACCTCGAGGCACTCAGCAGACAGGCAGAGCATCCAAAGCCTGCCTGATGGCTTCTGATGCTCTGCCTCACTGCCGGGCGCTCCGGGGGGTATTGCAGGATGCCTCGACATCGAAGCATCGCTGCAATACCCTTAGAGAGGCTGGAAGCGATCACGATCGCTTTGAGCACTCATATTTGCCGCGGACGTACAGGGTACGTCAGCGGTCGTTAACGACCGTTTTTTGTCTGATGCACCCTGTACATCCGTGGTCACTAAGGAGTTAAATTGGGGCCTAAATTAGCTGCACTACAAACCAGATAACACTATCCCTGTAATACAGACTAGAGAGTTAGGGTTAGGCACAACTACTATTTATATTGCACATATATTAGTGCAAACATGATCTCTTATAGAACCCGAACATTGTGAGGATTTACTATCACTTTAAATAATATTGTTATCTGGTCTTTGCTTCTTGACCATTGTAGTCGCTTGCACTTACTGCACAGTTTTACAATGCACATGGCTTAATGCCAAAAACCACTCCATTTTGGGAATCTGTATCATGCATTTTAAGCACACACAGATGTGTGTGCTGCCCCCTGCAGTGACCAAGTTGTATGACTTTAGGCCAATGGCAAAACTGTAAACTGTAACACTTGAAAACAAATTTATAATGTGATTGGCATAAAGTATTTAATAGACATTATCCAATATAATCTGACATTATCCAATATAATATGGTATCATGTAATTTCTGCATGACACATACAGTACTGTGCAAAAGTCTTAGGCCACTATTAGATTTGTCATTTTAGCAATGGTATAATGACCAGGTATAAGTATTCCTCAGAAATAGAAATACAGGGGATTTGTATTCAGTATGTATGCAAGGCTGTCTTTGAAGGGAAATCAGCAAATAAACTCGGTGCTCAAGATGTGGTATTCAAGCTGTTATAAAAAAAAAAAAAACATAATAATTGAAGAATCAGAAGAGGTCATGGACAAAAAAAAGGACTGGAAAGCCAAGAAAACTTTCAAAATCTAATGAGAAGTGTCTCAGAGTTTCTTCTTTGAGAGACCTCCTCCTAGCTCTAGTTATAATACACTATTTACGGGGAGACAGAGTCCTCCTTAAACCATAACCTTATATCTGAAGTTATAAACTTGTTTGAGCAGGGCCTTCATCACCCTCTGTTCCTGTGTCTACCTAGTCTAGTTGCAAATACCGATCTTTTAGTCCACCTATAGTACAGAACAGCAGAATTTGTTGACACTTAATAATAATGATAGGGGGAGTGGCCTGACCAGGGACCGAGCTGGACGCACTAAGCTAGAGCTCTCGTCCCAGCATGCCAAAAATAGCGATTAATAGCTTACAACACTAGCTCTTACCCGTCACAGATGGAGAAGAGGAACCCAAAAAAGCTGACTAAAAGGGGTACGGAGGTGGGATCCTCTGTTCTGTGGCTGCTGCAAGTGCAAAAGAGCGGGCTGGCGGACTGCCAAGACGGCGCCGGATACCCCGCAGATCCTCAAGAAGTTGGCAGAGGTCCAAGCGTTCCTGGCGGGCGAAATTGAGCGGTCCACGGCGGTCCTAAGGGCTGAAATTGCAGGCCTGGGGGAGAGAACAGCCAGGCTGGAGGAACGCATGGAGGGCACTGTTAAGGCCCATAATATGGCGGCGGACCAAGTTAACAGGCTGGCGGCCCGCGTTGCTGAAGTGGAGCTGGCGTTGGAGGACACCGCCAACCGCTCCCGCAGGAACAACTTGCGGCTGAGAGGCTTGCCAGAGAGGGAGGGAGAGGGGCCCCTCCAGGACATGGTGCTCCAGATCCTGCGCCTTCTGTTGCCAGATCTGCCTGAGGAGAAGTGGCAGTTGGAGAGGGTACACCGTGCGCTCCACGCCAGGAGCATGGTCCCCAACGCACCGAGAGACATCATTATTAAGTTTCTGCACTTCCCCATGAAGGAGGCGCTAATGGTGCAGAGTAGGAAGTCAAGGATCCAGTACCAGGGTACAGATGTTCCAGGATTTGGGGGGGGAAGGGTTCAGACCCTCTCTCCCGGGGGGGATCCCCGGAGCTTCCTGGAGGCCCTGGGAGTGACACCGCCAAGGGAGCTGCCCAAGACTACTGATGCCTACGGAGTGGCAAATGGCGGGAGGTGGACTGTGAGGAGTCCCCCGGAGGGGAAGGACCCTGGTCTCGAGGAGCTGGAAACGTGAGCAGGGACTTGAGGGGGGGCACGGAGTGCTTGTTGGGGTGGGGGACGGGAGCAGGGGAGGCCGTGGTCGGGCGGTGCTGGGACGGAGAGAGATGGTTATGGACTGGCCCTGGGACACTTTGTTAATTGAGGGGGAGGACGGGGGGACCCTGGGATGCTCTGGAGTGAAGGGGAGGTCGGGGGGACTCGCTGGTGAGCAACAGGGGAGTGCTTCCGTGGTGGGTGAGTGGTGGGAGCAGGACGCAGCTTGCTGTCAGGGGCTTCCTGTTGGGGGACAGGAGGGCTGATGTTGAGAGGGCAGCGCAGCATGGGGGTCCAAGGGGCGTAGGTTGCTGGATGGAATTTTTTTTTTCTTCTTCCCCGGGTGGCGGAGCATAAGATCCTGCTCCCTGGTGGGTAGGAGTGCTGGAGGTCCACATGAGTAGATAAGGGAGAGGTGGAAGAGGTTCCCCTTAGGGGGATGGAGGAGGGGGCTGACGATGGGCTGCCTGGTAGGCAGGAGAGATTGGGGGGTAGTGGTTAGGGGGAAGCGAGGGAGAAGGCAGAGGGGACCCTGTCCCCCCCCCCCCAAAGCTTCTTTTGCATATGGATGGGCTTTCCCAGAGGGGGATGGGGGGACGGGTCTCCTGAGACTGAAAGCGCCTTTCCTAGGCAGCAATAGGGCGTCCCCGCCTGGGCATTGCAGGGGTCATTTGTCGAGCTGGCTCTCCATGGCTTTGCTACAGGAGGGGCTTTTCGGCGGGGCACAGAGTAAAGGAGACCGGCTTGCCCTCCGGGGCTTTCTACCCGTTTTCCACTCCAGGGAGGGGTGGGCTCTGGGGGGGGGGGGTTCGGGCAGTTCACATGTTGCAGTATTACTTAGGGTTCTTACGTTACTTAGCACCTCTATCCCAAGTGGGATCGAATATGTGAGACAGGTATGACAGGGCTCACAAGGGCAGGGAGAGGTCGCACACGGGCGCGTAGGGTTTATAGGCCTGTGATCTCATGCATCTCTCATAGTAACATGGTTTCGGAGATGAGGACTCATACACCCCCTTGCAGGGGTAGACGTTGGCGGCAGGCGTGGTCTCGGCCACCCTGGCGCACTTATTACTGTATATACTTTCTTTGGTACTCTGTTTTTTCTTCTTTTTCACTACTTTCCTACTGTTTTCCTCTATTGGTGGGGGTCTGTCCTGGGGGGTGGGGCGGGGGATCCGGGGCCCAGGGGGCTGGGTGCGGCCTTAGGGGCCGGCGGTGATAGGGAAGAGAGATCATGACGCTACAACTAACCTCTTTAAACGTCAAAGGGCTCAATGCGCCACGGAAGCGGCGGTTACTTTTTAGAGAACTCAAGCGGTTGCGGGCAGATGTGGCTTTCCTACAGGAGACGCATCTGCCACGAAGCGCTGGGCTCAGGCTGCGAGATCATACCTATTCAGTGGCTCACGAGGCAAGGGCATTCTGAAAACAGAACGGGGTGAAAATCCTGATAAGGAATAGCTGCCCATTGACAATCGGGTCCGTGGATTGTGACCTGGATGGGAGATATGTCATTCTTTCTGGCGCGCTGCATTGTCATATAGTACATTTGATTAATGTTTATGCTCCTAATCAGCAGGCCGCAGGGTTTTGGGAGATGCTGCGGGGGAAAATACAGAACTTACCTCAGGGCTTGTTGATTCTGGGGGGAGATTTGAACGCTGTGCCGTGTCCGGCAGTGGATCGTCGCTCCCGATACAGGGAACCCAGGTCCCAGGGAAGGGGACATCAGGATAGGGTGTTCCATAAGTTTTTACTAGAGGCTGGGCTGGTGGACGTCTGGTGGGCACGTCATCCGAGCACCATAGACTACTCCTTCTATTCCACCCCGCATGGCTCTTACTCCCGAATAGATTTGTTTTTGGTAAACGATAAGTGTTTACCGTACGTCCAGGGAGCGGAGATAGGGCCCATCACATGGTCCGATCATGCGGACGTGTCTCTCACACTGGGACACTTCGGGATGGCTACACCCTGGTCTTAGAGACTCAATGCTTCCCTGTTGAGGGACAAGGCTACGGTGGAGCAGATCCGCAAAGATATCACGGAATATTTTGCCACCAACTCTACGCCGGACGTACGTCCGGAGACGGTCTGGGCGGCACACAAAACGGTGATACGGGGTACATTGATCAAGTTAGCGACTGCAAGAAAAAAGCAAAAATTCCTGAGACTTAATACCATCCTGACGGAGCTTAGGAGACTGGAACAGCAACATCAGCAGAGGCCAACGGACGGGCTCCTCCAACAGCTAGAAACCAAACAACACGATATACTTTCTCTACTACTAGATGACACAGCTAAAGCGATGACCTGGTCCAAACGCTTTTTCTATGAAAAAGCAAACAAAATGGACACACTCTTGGCAAGGGTGCTTAGGCCACGTCCGAGACGTGGCCATATCACCTCTATCAGACATCCAGACCGGTTGGTAGGTGAGCAGCGGAGATGATCTCTCCATCTGCCGGGCTGTTATAGGGAGGTAGACAGGACCGAGGATGGAACTTGGCCCACGGAATAGCGTTCTTCCTCAGGGGCGGGGTCGATGGTGGTAGGGATGGAATGGGAGATACAGAAGCCTGGGGTGACAATGCGATGAATCTAGGAGGGGGGTGGAGTCAACTTCATTCTTTCTGGTTTATTACTGTTAAGTTGGACTTCTGTGTAAAGTGGCATTGACATGGGAAGGGACTGATAAAGAGCCGAGGGGACGCACATACAAGCCAAAGACTCGGAGCAAAGTGCACGACCCTGGGACTTGGCTGGAGGAGCGGGAGCTGGGGGACTGTGGTTGGGGCCCGGTGCCCTGTGTTTTTTTTTCATTAGCAATGTAACCAGTAGGAAAATGTGTAATGTATGTGCGGCAGATTGCTTGTCATGTCATTGCCAAATGTTAAATAAAGAATAAAAAAAAAAAAAAAAAAAATAATAATAATGATAACTAACAACACTTTTCAACAAATTAATTAAAATGTAACAATTGCATATCTCCTCTACAGTTGGTTCGGTGGGACTTTCACAGTTTTCGGGTCCTGTCCCACATTCTGGGTGTTTGACTGTGTGACGGGAACTACCTTTGGCTGGGAACACTGAGCTCCAGATTTACTGTTGGAATGTGTGGGTGTCACAGTAAGAGTGACTTAGACATAAGAGGTGACTGAGAAACTGAGAATGGGAGTTTTCCATGAAGCTGCCATGGTCCCCCTCCAAAACTCAAACCTACCCTTATATGTCCCCATTCTCAGCGGGTAATAGTGAGACCCACGCATTCCAACAGTAAGTCTGGAACCCAGTGTTTACAGCCCAGGGTAGTTAACAACACATTTCTCCTCCTTTGGAAAGGAGACTAACCCAAGAGGAGACCCCAGAGGAGTCTCCAAAGTTAGGCAGAAAATCCAGGCCATCACCAAATTGCAAACCCCAAACAAATTGCTAATGCAAGAGCAGCACTCATCTAACCGACTTCTCCCTATTTGAAAGCATATATCCACACCTGGGGAGACTTGCCCACTGCCCCTTCTCCCTAGAGTCTTCAAAGTCATTGGAGAGAAGGCAGGGAGTCTGAGACCTCACCGACACGAAGTTGAGGAGCTGGGCTGATTGCACAGTATCCCTGGGGACCACAGGTGGAGACCATAGTCCCATCCACCAGTACCAGTGTAACGGATCGCCTGGCACCCCGACTGGGTACCTCCGTTAAAGGATGCTCCTAACGCTTCCTGAGGACTCCAAGCACTGCAGCAGACACCACAACCACCGAACCGGAGAAGCATATGAATCCTCTCAAGCATATGAATGCTGTAGACAGCTGAATAGGAACCATACGAATAGGTTTACTCTCCTAGCAGTCAAACTGGAACAGCATACAATAAATCCTTCCCCCAATAATGAGACGACACTTCACTTTGAGGGTTAAAACAGGAACTCCCTGTACTGTCACATACAGTCTCTTTTATTCCCAATCCACAAACATAGTACCACAGGGCGTACAAAACAACCAATCACATCACAGTTACATCCCACATATTCCCTCCCCTTATCCTGAGAGGAAACTCAATTACACATACAGTTAAAACATACTTTCTACCCAACTTTCATAACTCTAAAACCATACATCACATTCACATAAAATTACATATTCACAATCAATCCATTCAGGGGAACAACATATTCAAAAATGGCACAAATCAGACAAGGGGTTCAAAAGTTAGTAAAAAGTCCTTTGTGACTAAATGAAGCATGGCTTTCTGGCCCAAACCAGTTTCAGAGTCTTCTATCCTGGAGATAAGTAATTCAATTATCTCCCAGGACAGACACAAGACTCCATTAAGCACATGGTTGCAAAAAGACACAAAACACTTTAAAATACATAAAGTCACATTTTACACATAACACACAGACATTTCACATATCCCCAGATAGCTCAGGTCTGAGCGCACATTATTAAGTGAATGGCGCTCGGACCACACAAATACAGTTTAATCGCCATGGAGCCAAAGTCTTTACAGTCAGTTTCATACGAATGGGCTCCATGGGATTCCTATCTGGGGTATAACACATTCACATAAAGTCTGGTCCATAGTCCAAAGGCAAGAGGCGGGCAAGCAGCCCCCTCCAAGGACACGTGGCGAGGCCGGTTTCGCCACAACCAGATAGAGATCCCCCAGTGCTTTTGAAGAGGGGCCGACATCCTTTGGCTCTGGAGTCACCAATGGGGAGGGCAGAGGTCAGTGATGTTCTGCCTTGGGACCAGGTTTCCACTGGGCCAACCGGATCTGACACCCACACATTCTAACAGTAAATCTTGAACTCAGTGTTTCCAGTCCAGGGCAGTTCCTATCACAAACTGCTTACAATGAAGAGGTGTCAGGGTACACCTGGCACCATAATTACTACAGCTACCTGTATTGTTTATGGTGCTTGGAGTGTTCCTTTAATCCCGGTTTTAAGTTTATAAAACAATTTCTAACTGGATAT